TCCCGCACCCGTCGACGCAGCTCCCCCCGCGGAAGACCGCGCGTAGCAACGTCTTGACGATCGAGATGAGCGTGCCTGAAGCTCGCCCACCTACTGCCCCTGAGAGTTGGTTATTGAGTGGGATCAGCTCCCCCCCTTGGGATCGAAGCCGCCACAACCTCACACCCAACATCCCAGGCGGGATCAGAAGGGGACTCCACACCGGACACCGCCCGGGCACAGCCCCCCTACCCGTCGGATCGCACAGAGGGCCCCCTCGGAGCAGCCCACACACAATCACGCATCGGCAGATTGAGTGCCTGAGTCAGGCAGACAGCACAGACAAGAGGAGAGAGAGGAGAGAGAGAGAGAGAGAGAGGAGAGAGGAGAGGGTGAGGGTGTGAACACACGTGAGGAGTGGGGGAGGGTGTCTGTGGTGGGTTGTAGTCATACTACGTGGTTACAACCACGCGCCCCTCAGGAGCTTAAGGTAGAGCTGAGCGTCCAATACGCCTCGGTGCCACCCACCGGCGTGAAGACCATCCGGATCAGCCCAGTACGCCCTCCGGGCGAACGGTCCCCGCGATGGCCCACGGTCCTCCGTCGCCTGGTTGAACCCCCTGCCTCCCGGTTGACCCCCCGGTCCCCGTACACGACCATGAAATAAACTCAAGGTCCACCACAGCCACCAGCCTCCACCTCCACCCGCGAGCCGCCACCGCTGCCGCCCGCGACGCCGCCCGCCGCGTCAGATAGCTGCGACGCGCGCATCGAGTCGCGTCGGAGAGCCGCGCCGCACCAGCAGCAGCATCTGCACCACCAGCAGCAGCAGCAGCACCACCACCACCACCCGAGAGAGAAGCGCACCTGCCCGACGCCGCCCGCCGCGTCAGACGCTCGCGACGCGCGCGTCGAGCCCAGTCGCACAGCCGCGCCGCGCCAGCAGCAGCATCGGCACCAGCAGCAGCAGCACCACCACCACCAACAGCAACAGAGACAGGCAGTGCAGGCGCAGAGGCGCTCGCAGAGCGGCGCTCAGCGCCGCGCACGCCACGCTGCGGACCGTCGGACGAGCGCACCGTACGTCGGCGGCGAGCCGCGTCGCCAGCCGTCTCGCGAGAGAGCGGCGCCGCCGCGTGCGCGCAGCAGCCGCCGCGGCAGAGGCGAGCCGCGGCGACGTCCGCACTAACGGATAACGGCCATTGGCGGTTTTCTCTCTCTCTCTCTCTCTCTCTCTCCTGTCGCGTGAATCGTGTCGTGCGACCGCCTTTTGTTGTAAAAGTGTGTACTTCAGCGCCTCATCCTCGCCCTACGCGCCGCGTGGGGCACCGCTGTGCGAATGGAGCCGAAAGGCCACCTCGGTCCTGCTAAAATTCTTCAAAACGCAAGTTCTGGGCGCCAGTTGCACCCACCTGTTGCACTCGTGCAATGCTCGGCGAGTGGCCCACTGAGCTGCTAGTGCTCTGCGCCTCCCACACCGAGCCGGCCGCTTGGCACACGGGGCGTGCTCTGTGCGTCGACTTCCGGCGCACCATCGATCGCATCTGTGCGACGCCCGAGCAGCTCGCGAACGTGCTGTGGCACATGCGATTCGTCCACAAGTCGTGCTTCTGGCCGATGTACTGGTGCAGTGACGGCCGGGATATCGACTACGAGCTGGCCCGCTTCTTCGGCCTGTCACCAGAGCCCGCTGACGGCTACCCCGAGGGCATCTGCATGTTCTACGGTGAGGAGCCCGGCTTCGAGATCATGCCCTTCGCCAAGTTCACCACTGGCCTCCTCATGGTGCTCTTGAAGCTCTTCCAGCGCAGAATCACGACGGCCGAGGATCGTCCAGCGCTCCACGCGCAAGTCTTCGACCCCCGAACTCCTCTCGATGCCATGTTTGAGCGTCTGACCTGTCCAGCCGACATCGACAAGTGGCTCGACGACGACACGGTGTTTGACCTTCACCCTGACGATGCCAAGCCGGGCGATTTCCCGCTTTGGAGCATGCTCCGCGTGCAGCTCCGATTAATGACCAGCGAATTCAACTTCCTCACGTGCAACATCGAGCACCACGAGGGCCCAGAGGACAAGCACCACGCCCTAATGTTCCAGCCGCTGTTCTGGGAGCGCAAGTAGCTCCGTCCTTTTCTGGCCTTGAGCCCACATGGTCTGACTGTTTCTAAGTAACACGTAAAGGGAAAACGCTCACGCGCCGCCCACACTCGCGGGCCGGAGGGCCCTGAGGTGACGGTCAGTGAGGCGCCATTCGAGTGTACTTTTTGTACGACACGCGACACGCCAAGAGGGTGGTCGAGTTGACCACCGAGTCGCCGATCATCGCGATCGGGTCGCGCCGGATCCCCAGGTGGCGCAGCCTGGTGTGCGGCTCGCAGCCCGGCCCGACGCCCGCCGCGCCGAGCCAGCGGCCAAAGGTCTTGCGCTAGCTGCCAGGGAGCAGGAGTGAAAAAGGCACAGCAGGCTGACACACATTTTGCAAAACTCCTGCTCCTCTACCTCAGAATTTCTCTGTGTAGGGCGAGCCTGCTTTCTTGTAGCAGAACCGAGTACTCTACATGAGAGTTCCTGATCAACGCCAATTGTGGCTCGGCAATGGCCAAGAGGTTCAATACCCGAGGTGTGTTGCTCAATGCTCTGCGCGTTTGCTTGCGGTCGTGGATTTCAAGGTCCCAATCCTCGCGGTTGATGATTGACGCCGTTCGCTCGGGTGAGATTTTTGAGCGGCAGATGAACCAGCGCTGGAGCCCATCGCGGCACATGCTGGAGGAAGGAGGGCAAGGGTTTTGCAGATTCTGTGACTCACGCCCGCTGCTGCTGACGGTGCGTGGCTACTCGAGTACTGTCGAGAGGGTTTCTCATGTGGCGCCGCGCGTGCGTATATATCTTGAGTGTCCTGTCTCTCTCGTTAGTGGCACCACATCCCATTGTGAAGAAAAGAGTCGCTTCGCGCGTTTCACGTTTTCTTTTTAGTGCCAAGTCCACAACCATCACGCCGGAATAATGAGAAAAGATTTCGTGCCAACGAGATAAGGGTAATTCGTTTCCTTCTTTTTTCTTGGTCGTCTCCTTTTTTCTTCGGCGAGGCTGTGGTCGTCTGATGTCCGCTGCCGACACATAGGAATCCTAGCGACGACGCGCTGGCCAGCAAAGGCCTCGAGCCCTCGACCTTCTTGGGCAGCAGCTGGTGGGTCTGCCGTCGCCATGGCCGCCAGCTTGCCTTCCTTGCCATCGTCACCATAGCCCCAGGGCTCCAGACACCGCCATCGGCTGTGATGGCGAGACTGTGCGAGCATCCAGCCGACACAGCGACGACACACAGCTGTCCAGCTGGCAGCAACAAGACGAAAAAAGAAATCACGACGTACCACATCGCACTCTCACCTTCCCTCCCAAATCACCTTCCCATGGTGTACATACATACCTGTCTACTCGCCATTGGTTGGGCGGTGGCGGAAGCCTGGCGGGCTATGTTGGCTACTCGAACGAAGCAGCCGCGGGTCGGACTGACAAAGGGAAAACAAGGAAGGCGAGGGGGGGATGCAACGCGGGCCGGCGTTGCTAAGTAGGGGCGAGCTACCTTGCTGCGGCGAATCGCCCATGAACTGCGCCGTGAGGACCTCTCACAGGCGTGAGGACCTCGCGGGTGAGGACCTCTGCGATGGCCGATGCCTCCGACAATGAGACCTCTATTATCATTATTCTTTATTGAGTCGATCAAAGAGCTGATTTGTTGTGCGTGAGATCATTCTGGTGAGCTGGCGAGCCGAGCTCTCGGAGTGTAGTCGCACTTATGTAGAGCCCCCATAGGTCGTTCTCCGGAGGTCCTCACACCAGTCAGAGGTCCTCACGCCGCAGAGGTCCTCAGACCTCGCGCATCACGTCTCCGGGACTGAGTGAGGTCATTACTTGTGCTTGCCAGCGCAGTTTGCAGCATCCCTAGGGCGCCACAGGGGAGTCCAAGTTGTGGAAGCACCCGCCACCCGGATGACACATGGGCATCATACACATCGTTACTGAGTCTCCTTCACCCGGCAACGTGGAAAGTTAGTTAAAAGACGCTCAGAAAGCCTTTAGTGTGCGTCCTTGTCCTCTTGAAGGGGAAGGGGTGCATGAGCCACAATCCCTCATCCTTCTTCTCGAGTGTACTTTTTCTTCTTTTGGGATATGTTGCGAATACTTTTTCTGCCCTCCACACCGGTGGATGACGAATGCGAGAGGTGAAGATGAAGCCCTTCGGGAAAGGAATAATGCGCCAACGTTTTCTTCTTTTTAGTGCAAGTGCGGCGGCGCTGGTTGGGCCGTGGGCATGGACGACGACGCGTCCGCCTCCGAGGCGCCGCGAGGAGAGCTGGCCCACGCCTCGGTCGCCGTCGTCACCTTTGTCGTCGGCGTGGCGGTGCATGCCGTCTTCACGCGGTGCAGGCGCGGTCGCGGCACCGTCGCCACCACCGCCGCCCCGGCTGCCATATCCATCCGCGCCGCCGCCTCCATCGCCACCGCCACCACCCGCCGCCGCCTCCGCCCGCCGCCGCCGATTGCCACTCCCGCCACCTCTCGTCCGCCGCTTCGCCTCCTTGCCTGCCGCCACCGCCGCTCACCGCCTCGCTCTCACAGGCGGTCTGGCGCGCGGAGAGCGCTGCGAGAGCGGTACGCGCGGCGGAGGTACGGCCTGCCCGAGCTCGCCTCGCTGCCGCGCGGAGCATCGCAGGCGATCGTTCTACCATTGCACCGTAGCTTTCATGCCCACACAGCTGTCTCATTGGGCGGTGTCTCTCTTCACATGACCCAACCGTGGGCACCCTCGACTCGCAAAACCAGCGACGAATGGTTAGTGCTCTCTAAACCCTCCCCAGGCGATGACCGACATGTGGGCCACCTTTGACTCGCTGCGAGAGCGAGGCGTGTGCAAGGCGGCGCCCGTGGTACAGACGCCCGTCTCGCCCGGCACGCCGCCACGGAGGAACAACACTAGTTGAGAGGAGGAATCGAATACTCATGCTATCAGTTAATGATTTGTGGCACGGAGGAAACACCATTTAGTGAATCACTCATTCTGAATCAGTCACCTCATCCGTTTCACTATCCGTGGCCTCGCATTCAGGAACCGCTCGTACAACACCCTCGCCGCCCTGTCCGAGGACGAACCTCTATCGGAGCCGGGCCCTAGAAGCGATATCTCCCCATATCTCCCCGTATCTCCCCATATCTCGCCGCCCTGTCCGAGGACGAACCTCTATCGGAGCCGGGCCCTAGAAGCGATATCTCCCTGTATCTCCCCGTATCTCCCCATATCTCGCCGCCCTGTCCGAGGACGAGCCTCTGTCGGAGCCGGGCCCTAGAAGCGATATCTCCCCATATCTCCCCGTATCTCCCCATATCTCGCCGCCCTGTCCGAGGACGAACCTCTGTCGGAGCCGGGCCCTAGAAGCGATATCTCCCCATATCTCCCCGTATCTCCCCATATCTCGCCGCCCTGTCCGAGGACGAGCCTCTGTCGGAGCCGGGCCCTAGAAGCGATATCTCCCCATATCTCCCCGTATCTCCCCATATCTCGCCGCCCTGTCCGAGGACGAGCCTCTGTCGGAGCCGGGCCCTAGAAGCGATATCTCCCCATATCTCCCCGTATCTCCCCATATCTCGCCGCCCTGTCCGAGGACGAGCCTCTGTCGGAGCCGGACCCTAGAAGCGATATCTCCCCATATCTCCCCGTATCTCCCCATATCTCGCCGCCCTGTCCGAGGACGAGCCTCTGTCGGAGCCGGGCCCTAGAAGCGATATCTCCCCATATCTCCCCGTATCTCCCCATATCTCGCCGCCCTGTCCGAGGACGAGCCTCTGTCGGAGCCGGGCCCTAGAAGCGATATCTCCCCATATCTCCCCGTATCCCCCCATATCTCGCCGCCCTGTCCGAGGACGAGCCTCTGTCGGAGCCGGGCCCTAGAAGCGATATCTCCCCATATCTCCCCGTATCTCCCCATATCTCGCCGCCCTGTCCGAGGACGAGCCTCTGTCGGAGCCGGACCCTAGAAGCGGGATATCTCCCTGTATCTCCCCGTATCTCCCCATATCTCGCCGCCCTGTCCGAGGACGAGCCTCTATCGGAGCCGGGCCCTAGAAGCGATATCTCCCCATATCTCCCCGTATCTCCCCATATCTCGCCGCCCTGTCCGAGGACGAGCCTCTGTCGGAGCCGGGCCCTAGAAGCGATATCTCCCCATATCTCCCCGTATCTCCCCATATCTCGCCGCCCTGTCCGAGGACGAGCCTCTGTCGGAGCCGGGCCCTAGAAGCGATATCTCCCCATATCTCCCCGTATCTCCCCATATCTCGCCGCCCTGTCCGAGGACGAGCCTCTGTCGGAGCCGGGCCCTAGAAGCGATATCTCCCCATATCTCCCCGTATCTCCCCATATCTCGCCGCCCTGTCCGAGGACGAGCCTCTATCGGAGCCGGGCCCTAGAAGCGATATCTCCCCATATCTCCCCGTATCTCCCCGTATCTCGCCCCCGCCGCGTGGCCCTCCACCCTAGAAGCAGAAGATCTCCCCATATCTCCCCATATCTCCCCGTATCTCGCCCCCGCCGCGTGGCCCTCCACCCTAGAAGCGGAAGATCTCCCCATATCTCCCCGTATCTCCCCGTATCTCGCCCCCGCCGCGTGGCCCTCCACCCTAGAAGCGGAAGATCTCCCCATATCTCCCCGTATCCCCCCATCTCGCGCCGTATCTCCCCATATCTCCCCATATCTCGTGCCCCACGTGCTCGGCACCCAACCCTAGACGCGGAATACGCCTTCTGGTACTCCAAACTAGCGCCAGAGAGGGCACGGATTCTTTTGCCGTATCCGCGTGTTGTGCTCGCACCCCCTCGTACTCACGCGGTGCCTTGAATACGCTGCACCACACCACATCTCCCCACATCTCCCCGCCCTTATCCCGGCGTGATCTTGACGCAGGAGCCAGGCACCTCCTCCTCTAACAGTTTGCATTAATTATAAATGAATTATTCCTCCTCTAATAATTGACAGTAGCTATGATTGAATCGGTATGCAGGAGCCAGCCTCCTCCTCCTCGAACAGTTTGCATTAATTATAAATGAGTCCTCCTCCTCTCATAATTGACATTAGCTATGAATGAATCGGTATGCAGGAGCCAGACTCCGCCTCCTCTAACAGTTTGCACTAATTATAAATGACGTATTCCTCTAATAATTAACATTACTTATTAATGAATCGGTATGCAGGAGCCAGACTCCTCCTCCTCCGTCCAGTTCTCGCGCTCGGTGTCCTTCGACGGCAGCATCGCGCGGAGGTAGAGCCGAGATGTGCCGAGATTGAAGCGAGATTGAAGCGAGATTGAAGCGAGACGGCAGCATCGCACGCGGGCGTATCTCGCCGCAGCCTCCCCTCCCCCCCTCCAACTCTCTCTTTCTCACACACACACACACACACACACACACACACACACACACACACACACACACACACACACACACACACACACACACACACACACACGCACGCACACGAGCCCCATCCGATATCGGGCTAGGCGGACGCAGCTTCCCGTGGCGCCCGTCCCCTCCCCCGCACGTCTGCGCGGCGGCGGCGGAGGCGGAGGCGGCGGTGGAGGCGGCGGAGGCGGAGGCGGAGGCGGTGGCAGCAGCAGCAGCAGCGTTGGCGGCGGCGGTGGCGGCGGAGGAGGCGGCAGCGCGCCGCCAGCGGCGGCGGGGAAGCAGACAGCTGTGAAGGAGGAGGACGCTGTGAATAGGCGGCAGCGCGCCGCCAGCGTCGGGCGGGCGGGCGCGCGGCGGGGCGCCGGCGGGGCGCGGCTTCGCTCGCCCACGTCGCTCCTGCCGCCGTGGTGCCCGTCCTAACGCGTGCGACTTTTGTGTGCAGTCGCGTCCTCGTGAACCGCGCGTTCCAGAACTCGTTTGGCGGCGGGGGCGGCGCGTGCCACTTTGGAGGAGCGCTCTGGGAGCCTTCCAGGACCCTTCTGGGACCCTTCTGGATGTGTCTAGGCGCTGCCGATCGCGGGAGCGACGCGGACTCGGAGAGAAGCGACGTCGAATCGGAGGCGAGGGGAGGAGGAGGGGGAGGAGTAGTGAGGAGTAGGAGGGGGAGGGGGAGGAGGAGGAGGAAGTAGTAGTATACGTACGCCCCTACAGAGGCGACACCCATCACCGACGCCAGGCGACCGAGCAGTGAGACGAAGGTAGGGGCCCAATGTGGGTTTGGGGTGCGAACTCTCTCTCTCTCTCTCTCTCTCTCTCTCTCTCTCTCTCTCTCTCTCTCTCTCTCTCTCTCTCTCTCTCTCTCTCTCTCCCTCTCTCTCTCTCTCTCTCTGGCTCTCTCTCTCTCTCTCTCTCTCTCTCTCTCTCTCGCCCCGGAGATGAGAGCGCGACAGAAAGGGGGGGGGGGGGGGCGCATGTTGTGAAGGGCGTGTGCACTCACACCAGTGCGCGTGAGCAGGCGAGAGCGCGAGATACGGCGCCAGGCATGCTCCGGCGGGCAGGGATGAGCGCGGCGGAAGGGATCGCCGCTCTCGCGTTGTAGCGGCGGGCAGCGCGGCGGAGGGGGCGGTCCCCTACCTGTAAGGAGTCGGAACCCGCGCCGCGTGGGGCCGTCTCTTCGGTCTACGGCTGTGTAGACAGGGTTGTGGCGCCCCCCTTCGAAGAGGAGGGAGACAGCCGAGCATGGGTGTACTGGTTACGGGGGTGAGAGTTGGTGCAGGCTGAGAGTGAGACATGCCAGGGCGGGTGGTGGTGGTGGGTAAGAGAGGGGGGGGGGGGGGGCATGTATGTGGGCATGGAGGTCTCACTGGAGCAAGTTGGCCAAAAATATAGAAAGCAATATAGACTAATTTATAGAGCCGTATGGTCGCGGCAACGCGGGCACGTAAAGTATTATATACACCCGGGAGAGGGGACTGGCTCGCTAACGAGCTCTCTACTCCGTCGAGCCGTCCCCGCGGGCGCGGGGTCTCCTGTCTTTTAGACGTGGAGTCACGAGGCGTTGCCCCACTGTAGTCACACACACCGACTCAGCGGACAGCTCACCAACTCGCAATCCCTTCAGCTTCACAGACAGACCTTGTTACCTCGTGTGTCGGCGAGACAACTAAGACGAATGCGCCGTCGGGTAGTCGCCATGGAAGCGTTCCGTGGACCACCTGCCTTACCTTATTGAGAAGAAATTACCTCTCATATGGCGGATGGCGCTGCGTGCTCGTCTATGAGAGGTTGAGGTTCAAACAACCTATTCGGCGTGGTCATTCGAGATCGAGATCGAGCGTCGGTCTGCCGTCGAGCTCGAGCTCGTCAGTTGAGCTCAAGGTGGGCGCCAACGACATGGAGGGTCCTCTGGGTGATGAAGCCTTTTCCCAGTTGGGATTCCACGGTCGGTCGCCCGGTATCGGCGGGCGCCTAAGGTACAACAGCCATGCGTCAAGACGGCAAATCACTATACACGATTGTGGGAGCGAAGTCGAGGGGCGGAACGCAAACCGAAAGGAGCGGCTGCCAAGGAACTCGGCACGCGTAGTCGTGTGCGAGGCCGTCGGAGAAGTCGTGGCTCCGCCTATCAACAAAGGAGCCCCTTGAGAACGAAGACATGGCTGACAAATAGCAACTGTGATATGCAGCGCGCCCCCGACTGATTGCTCGCCGCGACCGCCCGTGACCGACCCCTTGGATCCCCCCAAATGCGCCGAGCGGCTGGGCGCGCGCCGAAAGAAGCAGTTGGCCGGGTAGCCCTTCTGAGAAGGGCCGAGGACAGAAGTCGGTCTGCTCAAGTGTAACGAGACGGCGCCGTGGGGGAAGGCGGCGGCACACCGGGTAACTCGCAGCGACTCGCATCGCCAGCCTTTCCTCCTCATCCGAGATCCATGGCGGCAGCGAGAAGACCTCGAGCAGCCGTGGAAGGAGGAAGGCGGCCTATGGTGTCACGTCACGGCATGCCATCGACCTGTTGGAGGAGGAGCAACGGTAACGGTGCCCAAGCTGGCCATCTGCAAGGGTGTGCTAGCTCTCGTCCCACTCTCTGGTCCATCTCTCGGTAGTTCGCCCAATAGATCAGCAGCACGGCCGTCACGAGGCAGCGTACCGCCTCGTACGGCTCCTCCTTGACGCCAGAGAAGACCCACGACTTGCGATCGTCCGCGAGCTGGCAGCCAAGGTAGAAGAAATGCTGGAACAACATGGCCTGCATACAATGCAACGCGCGCGTCTCGCCCGGCTTGCCTCCTAGGCATGCTTGCCACGGCAAGAAGCCTATTCACAGCGCGACGGATGAGGGCACCACTAATGAAAGAGGGGCGCCGCGCCGCTGAGGTCTCCGAGGATGCCCGGCCCGCAGATGGGCGAGAGGAGCGCGTCCAACCATGGCAGCGGCCAGAGAGCGCGCTGGCGGCTCCTCGTCACCACCACGGCAGGCATCGCACCACTAGGCTCGTTGACGTCCGCTCGGCTGCCGTCCTTTCCTCGGCGCAAGGAGCCACGAATGCTGATTCTGTGACTTGCCCCAGGGCCGGACGTGAGCCCATCGGTGGCGAAGCTGCTTTCGAGGCGGCAGCGGAAGAGGACGGTGCGCAACGTTAGGTAAACGGTGACAGCAACAAAGACGCCCTGCACAGTCCACACGACCGCCTTTTCACCGACGCAGACGAACGACTCGCCGATGGCCTCGAGCAGCTCGTACGCGAGAATGAGCCCCTACGTAGAGGCGTGAAACTGTGGAGGTGGCACCGGGTCGGGGCGTCCGGGGCGTGCATGGGATCACCCATGACAGGAGCGGAAAGTCGATCAAATGCTCAAAATGGGGCAGCGAAGTGTGCTCGGCGAAGCACGAGACGAAGAAGTGCCCGCTCGCGATTTGCTCACGCACCCGTTCCGGCGCCTGTCCAACGCTCGCCCATCGGTGAAGACGTGCCTTATGCTCCTCACAATACGCTGCTGGGCCGAGGGCCTGGCTGAGCGCGCGGTCGCCTCCCTCGTCGCTCTCGACGTAGCTGATGAGGCATGCGCGGAACATGCGCACCCGCCGAAGTGTGCGCCTACCCGCAGGCGGACGCTGAGCTGAGTCGCGTTCCACAACCAGGGCTGAGCTGGCTTGAGCTGCCTCTGCACAGCCGACTTCGGTTCGTCGCCATTGGCCTCCGCCGCCTCTGCCTCCGCGAGGTTGCTGAATCGCGCGATTGTGACGCGGACCGCGGCGTAGATAAAAATGAAGTAGATGACCATCGCGAAGAAAAGGCCAAAGTGGATTGCCTAACCACATATTCACGTATGAAGATATCGCCATTTGCACGGTGGCAATGCGGAGGCGACCTCAGCGCGGTGAAAGAGCATCCCACCCTATCCACAGGAGGGGCGAGTGAAGCAGCGATACCCAAAAGAGTTGCAGGAGGCGGTCTCGGCCGTGATTGGGACAAAGTCTCACTCCAGCGCCCAGCCGTTCTGCTGCACGGCGGCCAGCACGATCTCGCGCTCCGCCTTGAGCTCCGCCGAGGCGCACTGCAGCGCCCAACCGTCCTGCTGCACGGCGGCTAGCACCACCTCGCGGTCCGCCTTGAGCTCCTGCGAGGCGAAGTGCAGCGCCGAACCGTCCTGCTTCACGGTGACCAGCAAGATCTCGCGTTCCGACCTCAGCTCCTGCGAGGCGTATCCCAGCGCCTTGCCGTCCTGCTTCACGGCGGCCAGCACGATTTCGCGGTCCGCCTTCCGCTCCTCGGACGCGTACTGCAGCGCCCCGCCGCTCTGCTTCACGGAGGCCAGCACGATCTCTCGGTCCGCCGTCAGCTCCTCCGAGGCGTACCGCAGCGCCCTGCCGTCCTCCTGCACAGCGGCCAGCACCACCTCGCGGTCCGCCCCCAGCGCCGCTCTCGCGTACGACAGAGCGTCAAGGGCGCTGAAAAGCACGTGCTGGTTTGACGCCAACGCGCCGAGCAGCGCGGCGCGGTCGGCGTCGGATGCCTCGTTTTCCGCCTTGTTGGGGCTGGGGCTCGATCGCAAAGCTGCGATGTTCCGAATCGTACTGCCATCGGAGAGCCGCAGCCGTGCGTTGGATGTGGCGATGGCGGCGCCAAAGAAGAGGGCCGCGGGCGGGCCGAGCGAGCCGACTTGCAGCGCGTCCAGCCGCCTGTACCGCGCCAGGTCCATCGAGGGCAGGCACGTCTCGCCCTCCACCCGTAGGTCCGTGAGACCGGGCAGCCTGGCTACAAAGAGCGCGTTGCTCCAGATGGCGTCGCCCCGCCGGACGGAGAGGGTGGCGGCACGCAGGTGCGGGGTGAGGCGCTCGCGCAGCGCATAGCACGTGCATGCGAGCGCCCTCTTGCAGGTGAGCGCGACGTGAGGAAGCAGTGCGATCTCAAAGGCGTCGCGATCGAACTCCTCCAGCAGGATCGACAGGAAGTCAGAGTCATTGCTGACGGTGTGCCGCACTGGCAGGGTGGCCGGCGCGCCAAAGAGGGACTCGGGACCAGGGAAGCTCGGCCCCGGCGCGCGCGCTTGCGCGGACATGGCGTTGTTGCGGAGTGCCGGTAGGCTAGTTCCATTTCACTCTGACACGCTAATCTTGAAAACGTCCAACGGAGCTCCGTGTTGCTCCCAGCGCCCTCCCCCGCGCTTCCTGCGGCCCTAGCCGATGGTACTAGCATGGGAGGTCATCTGGCTACCGCGAGAGCGACCCAACTCGTCGACATCGTCCGATGATGGTGCCTCAAAGTCAGCCTTCGGAGGCTATCGTGGGGTCGAGCCGGCGGTGGCCGTGACATGTGGTTCCACCACCCCTCGTAGGCTTTGCCTCTGGCCGCCACCGTTCCCAGGCTGCCTAATGGGATGAAAAAGAAGGCTCGGCGAGCGTATAGAAGCGTGCTCGACCTTGTCGTGGCAGCCTGCACGGCAGCGCTGGCAGGCGCGATGAGCGTCGTGCCACCTGACCCGAGACGGGTCGCAGGCGTCGTACCGAGCGCATCGAGACCGTGTCATGATGTGATCTGCACGGGTGAGTCACGTCGGCGTCAAAGGAGCGACGTGCGACCTGTCAGAGCTTGATCTCCGATCTCAGCGGCGTCGAGTCGTCTCTGGCGCGCGACAAAGGTACATACCCAGGACGCGCAGAGGCAGCTGCGACCCACCGAAGTGGACGGAGTCACACCGCGCCCCCTGCTGTGTGTCGCCGTCTACTCGGCGGGGTCGCAGCTGCCTCTGGAAGGCACCGAGATGTACCTTTTTCGCGCAATGGTCAAAATCAAGGTTTGTAACGCGAGCTGTGCCACAGTCTCTGCCAGGGGCCCCTCCACTCGCCTGCACCTGCTCGAACCCTGAGCACTGTGCGGCGTTGCACGCTCGAGGTCGTGCATGATGTAGTAATCATTGTCTTGAGTAATGCGCTTCTCTCGACCGAGAGCGCTAGCCTCTACACCCCTTCGGTCCGTCGAATCTCGGCGCGGCAGATGCGACGCCGAGACTGACGAAACCTCCCTGTGGTGGGCTGCTGAGCCTCCCCCACACACGAGAACACCACTGGGACACCCATGACACACTAGAACAGGTATGCCACGAGGCGGGATGAGACTAGACGTCTCGGACGAGACTCGTCACTCGACGGAAACCTAAATCGTGAACATCGGGTTGCTGCGCGGCGGGTCAACCCCATTATGCGCAGTCATCCAGATGTCAACTGCACCTCAGGCAGTCGCCGGCGTGGGCGGGAGGGGCGACTGTATCTGAAGGCGCGGTAGCGGTAGACGGGCAAGCCACAGCTGGCAAGATGCCGATCGCCATTGACCTTGCTCGAGCCGCGGCGAGCCCTGAAAGTGGAGCGTGTCAGGATCGATTGCTCGGCTGTGAACTGACCTCGCTGTGAATGTGACCGCCGTCACAGACACTATTGTCCATGAATGGTAGACTGAGAGTAGAGTAGAATCGGGTCGAGCGACCGGCCCAGTCGACCGTCCCCTCCCCTCAGCAGAGCGGGCGAGAATCCTAAAGGATTCACGCCTCCTCTGCCAGGGGCCCCTCCACTCGCCTGCACCTGCTCGAACCCTGAGCACTGTGCGGCGTTGCACGCTCGAGGTCGTGCATGATGTAGTAATCATTGTCTTGAGTAATGCGCTTCTCTCGACCGAGAGCGCTAGCCTCTACACCCCTTCGGTCCGTCGAATCTCGGCGCGGCAGATGCGACGCCGAGACTGACGAAACCTCCCTGTGGTGGGCTGCTGAGCCTCCCCACGCTCGACCTTTGAGGTAGTATGATGGAAGGTCGATGCCCGGAACGGCCTAAGCTCAGCTGAACCCCACGCATAGACCTCCTCGAATCACCTCAAAGGTAAGGGATGGCAACTGGCGGTTGAGTCGCTGACGTCGCACGACCATGCGCCCGAGAGACCGATCGTGATTATCGACCGATCTCGCAACTATCCCAGCGAGTAGTCCGGTGCTCCGGTAAAACCCCCCCGCCCCCGCCGTAGCGATGACGATGAGGAAATAGCACCCGACGCGAGTCGGGCCTACACTCGCTTGGGTGGCAAGCACGCCACAGTTGCACTCATCAACAGTGTCAAACACCGTTGCCACTGTCGACTTAAACGATAGCAGCTGCCGACCTGATTGCTGCTTCGTCGTGACCCAAATTTTAACTGAGCGAGTTGATGATCCTGCCCATACGGTCTGCTGCTTCGACGTCGAAGAGCATTACTCTGGCTGCAGCAGCCAATGACGCCGCCCGTCTTTGCGAAGCGGCGTCTGGACGCGCTTGGCGGTTGACGCCGGCCCGCCACTGCGCCTCGTGCGCGTCCACCTCCGTCGAGGTCGACGCGTCGAGATCGGAGCGCATCACCGAGATGCCAGAGCCCGCCTTCGCCGACATGATTCCCCGCCCGGATAGCTCGGTGAGTGTGCCGTCGCCCGAAACGGAAAACCGGACACGGGAAAATATAAGGTAAGATTGTGAGGGGGAGGAAGTAACGGGCCACAGGCTTCGCGGCAAACCCCGCAAAATATCCGCCTTTTTCCCACCCACGCCCGTGCGCGCGTATCTTAGCTAAGGTACGCGGCCGTGCTCTCTCTCGCTCGCGCGGTCGGTCTCCGCCCACTGCGTTCGCCTCGCCCCATCTTTCAACACCTGCCTGCGGGGGCCGGCGCCGGCCGCCTCGCTTCGCCAGCGCTGCCTACGCCTACGACACGCGCATCGGCTCGCCGCCCGCGTCGCCTGCGGCGGGCCCGCGGGGCGCGACGCTCGTCGGGAGCGTGCTCAGCAGGCTGTGCAGCGCAGTCTGACTCACTTGATTGATTGATGGGAAGGCGAAACACAGTCCGACCAACGACTCACTCAGAGCGCCGCTGATGCGGCGTGGGGCCGCCGGCGGGGCTGCTGCCGCGCACGCTGCGCTGAGGGCCTCACCATCGTGTCCTCGCCGCGTCGCCGACGCCACTTGCTGCTCGCGGCTGCCCTGCCCTTCCCTGCCATCGCGCAAACAAACACACACACACACACGCACACACACACACATTATTAATGATCGAGTATTAATTATTATTTATTAATCATCGGGCGGCGACGCGGCGCGGCGGCGGGCGGGGCGGAGCGGGGCGGCGAGACCATCTGCAGTTACCGGGCCTCTGGTCATTGGAGAGCAGCAATGGTCGCGCCGCCCTCGACTCACGGGGCTGCCTTCCATCCGCCGATGCTCAGGCCGGGGGAGGGGGGGAGAGGGGGGGGGGGGGGGGGGGGGGGGGGGGGGGGGGGGGGGGGGGGGGGGGGGGGGGGGGGGGGGGGGGGGGGGGGGGGGGGGGGGGGGGGGGGGGGGGGGGGGGGGGGGGGGGGGGGGGGGGGGGGGGGGGGGGGGGGGGGGGGGGGGGGGGGGGGGGGGGGGGGGGGGGGGGGGGGGGGGGGGGGGGGGGGGGGGGTGGGGGGGGGGGGGGGGGGGGGGGGGGGGGGGGGGGGGGGGGGGGGGGGGGGGGGGGGGGGGGGGGGGGGGGGGGGGGGGGGGGGGGGGGGGGGTGGGGGGGGGGGGGGGGGGGGGGGGGGGGGGGGGGGGGGGGGGGGGGGGGGGGGGGGGGGGGGGAGGAGGGGGGGGGGGGGGGGGGGGGGGGGGGGGGGGGGGGGGGGGGGGAGGCAGCTCACCAGGCCTCTACCGGCGCTAGAGCCTCTCTTGCGGGTGCACTCCGATCCCGTGAGGCGCGTGCACGGGCTCGATGTGCCGCTGCGCCACCTAATCAACAATTAATCACTCATAAGTACCACCCCATACTACACCAACAGCTTGATGTGCCGCTGCGCCACCTAATCAACAATTAATCACTCATAAGTACCACCCCATACTACACCAACAGCTTGATGTGCCGCTGTGCCACCGAGTGCACTGCCGTGTAATCTCGGGTAATCTCGGGTAATCTCGGGTAATCTCGGGTAAGCCACCGAGTGCACGAGGGCGTGGTGCACTGTCGTGCCGAAGACCATCAGGTGGAGCAGCGACATGTACGCGAGCAAGCCGAGCCTACGCAGTCTCGGACGTGTCTCGGAAATGTCGCGGACGTGTCTCGGAAGTGTCTCGGAAGTGTCTCGGAAGTGTCTCGGAAGTGTCGCGGACGTGTCTCGGAAGTGTCTCGGAAGTGTCTCGGAAGTGTCTCGGAAGTGGCAGGGACATGTACAGCCTACGTGGTCGCTACGCCATCCTCAGGGCGGGACTACAGTGTCGTGCAGAGACGGGCGGAGAGACGGGGAGACACGGGGAGAGATGACCCGCTTCTAGCAGGCCGCGCCTTGCCCGCCGGTGGGAGAGGAGCAGCGACGACACGGCGAGCAATAGCTTCTCAGGCGGCGACAGCTCCGCCAGCCTCGCCGCCCGCTCGCGCCGCTGGAAGGCCGAGAAGGGGCTGATCGTGGCCTCGTACTCTCTCCCGTATGTCTGCTCCGCCGCCGCGGCAAGCCCGGCTCCTGGCCCGCCCCCTCCGCCCCCCGCTCCCGCCCCTCCGGCCCCCCTCGCCTTGCCCCCGAGAGCCTCGAGGAAGCGAACCTTCTCGTACAGCGCGAGGTTAGGGTTAGGGCTAGGGTTAGGGTTAGGGTTAGGGTTAGGGTTAGGGTTCGGGTTCGGGTTCGGGTTCGGGTTAGGGGTTTCGAACCTTCTCGTACAGCGCGAGGTTGTCGCTGTGCAGCTGCCGCCCCTTCGACTGCGTCGACCGGAGCTGCTCGCGCAACCGCCCCGCCTCCGCCGCCGCCGCCTCAGCCTCTCGCCGCGCCCGCTCGCGCTACGGCAGCAATGCCCGCATCATCAATCAGCTATTCACTCACTATAACTAACCCGAATGAACTGTGAACTCACCTGAGACAGCAATGTCCGCATCATCGCGCCGCCGTCCGCCTCCGCCTCGCCGCCGCCAGCTTCAGCGGCGTCGAGCCTCGAGCCGCCCGGCGACGGGGGCGGCTGGCGCTGCGACGCCGCCGCGGGAGAGAGCTGGTGCAGCACTGACGCAAGGGTGAGGGAGGAGGAGGCGGCGGCAGCCTCGCCGCCGCCCGCCCGCCCCCGAGACAGCAGCTGGTCCTCCAGCTTTGAGAGCGCCGCCGCCTGCTCCGCCGCTCGCCTCACCGCCGCCGCCTCGGCGTCTCGAGAAGTGGCGAGCGCCGCCTAAGGTAGCGCAAGGGAACGGCACACCTTTCGCCTAGACCTCGGCTGCACCTCGGCTGCACCTCGGCTGCACCTCGGCTGCACCTCGGCCAGACCTCGGCCAGATCTCGGCCAGACCTCGGCTAGATCTCGGCTGCATCTCGGCTAGACCTCGGCTAGACCTCGGCCACATCTCGGCCAGACCTCGGCCAGACCTCGGCTAGACCTCGGCTAGATCTCGGCCACATCTCGGCCAGACCTCGGCCAGACCTCGGCCAGACCTCGGCCAGATCTCGGCCGCATCTCGGCTAGACCTCTCCTCGGCTAGACCTCGGCTAGACCTCGGCTAGATCTCGGCCAGATCTCGGCTAGACCTCTCCTCGGCTAGACCTCGGCTAGACCTCGGCTAGATCTCGGCCGCATCTCGGCTAGACCTCTCCTCCGCTGCAGTCAGCAAACCTCTCGTCAGAGCGAG